GAGGATCATCTTGTGCAATGAGATGTATACAAATGCAATTAAACAGGAAAAAAAAACCTCTATCAGAGTTATCAGGTTGACATATGCTGCACGTATCCCCGTCGAGCACCCACTGCCTCAGCGTAAATCACACAAATGGCCCGAGATACGCGATAAAAACGAATTAGTGATGCTTATGTGCCGTGATCTGCCACTTGCGCAAACTACGCTGCAGACATAAGTGCTTTAACACTCAGCCAACGTGAGGCTCTGGTGTTTAGAGCTGACAGTAGTGTTACAAGCTGAGAGCACATCATGTCAAGGGAAAATATTCAAATATTCGTCATTTGTACCTCACACCTCCCGTTTTCTGAACAACTACAAGCTCTAGATCATGCGGTCCATTAACAACCAAGGCAGTCACTATCAACTTCATAACTTGTATCTAAACTAGGCACATCTGTTTCAGAATATAACTAACTGTAGTGTGTGCCCCTGCACCCAACTGCTGGGTTACCTATTCAGATGGACTAAAAAAAAACCCAAAACAAGACAGAAAATCCCACAACACTTACTTCCTCCCCAAACCAGTCCCACTTCTGTGAAACAATGCTGACTCAAAGTCTCTCGTGGCCCAGCTCCTCTGAGTCAGGTAGCCAAATTGTTAAAACCAGAAAATATTAACAAAACCCTGAGAATCACCACAGACTTCCTATCCGTAATACATGCTCCATCTCTCCTTCTTCCCTTGTCCCTAGCTTCTGCTAGCACAGTGAACTTTCCCGATGCCAGGAAAAAAAGAAACGTTTCTGCCTGCAACGACAGGAGCACTGTACGAGGAGCGTACAGGTTCAAGTTCAGGTGAAAAGAGTCCAGAACGTTCCCACTGTTGACAACGCTCTTCAGTGGGGAGCAGGATGACTTCTGCTATGACCCACAACTCAAGAAGATTTCTGGCTTAGGGAATTAAAAGCCTTTTTCTCAACTGCCTGTGGAGATCACACGACCCTGTGTACATCATGTCATGCTAGAGGAAGACTATGAATCATTCAAGAACCTCAATTTTCTTTGCAAGCACTTAGTCGTCTGTCAGAGTGAACAAAGCAAGCCAAGATGGCCTCAGATGGGATTAACAGGAGATGTTCACGATGGAATAAACTGTTCTTTTATGACACAACTTTACATCCTAATTCCTCGGAAATGCTAGCACAGGAAGAAAAAAACCCACAAAACCCAAACCAACCAAACAAACCAACCCCAAAACAAAACAACAGAAAAACGAAGAAGGAATCTGATAGTTGTTGATAGTTGCTATGACTCAGATTAACTAGTTGGAATTTGGAACTCATTAAATTTGTTGCAGGAGGCACTACCCTGATAGCACGTATGAAGAGTTTGAAAGGAGCATGCCGAACATGCTTTAGGAGTTCCTGGGTCTGCTGTGAGAGCTAAGAGACCCAATTGTGTAGCCTCCAAATTAAAAAACATAAATCCTCTTAAATGAATAAATTACTTCAAGAGCAAAACCAGAAGTCTGAAAGTAGTTTGGTCCAGGATGAAGAGAGTCCTATCACTTCTCTCCAGGCCCTACCAGTCATATCTTCAAGTGACCTAAACATCTGGGATAAACAATAAAAATATGAAGTCACACAGTAAATCTTCACATATTCATCCATAAAAGCAGGTGATTTTAAAAAGGCGTAAGGAATTTGCTTGTTAAAAATAGAAGTAATATCAAAAGGTACAGATTATGAAAATACCTGAAGCTTGAATACTATTTTCACAGAGATTCACATGAAGCTTTAAGCATTCCCTTCTGTTTTGCTGCATGGTCTATGTCCATACCACCCTGAGAATGCCTGATCTTGTATGATCTCAGAAGCTAAGCAAGGTCAGGCCCAATTAGTACCTGGATGAGAGACTACCAAGAATACAGGCTTGCTGTAGGCTTCCCTTCCGCATCCCAAAGCCTGGATGAGGCTTTGAGCAACCTGGTCTAGTGGAAGGTGTCCCTGCCCATGGCAGGGGGGTTGGAACTAGATGGTCTTTAAGGTCCCTTCCAACCCAAAGCATTCTGTGATTCTATGAGATGCACCCTGGGTTGGATGGTTCTGTGTTTCAGAGTCAGCTTGCGCACTGCCTTCTAACTAAGCTCAATCAATCCTGATGGCTTTGGGGAGTAATTTTTCTTAATTTAGTAGAACAGTGGCAGTTTTACCCTACGAGGCCTCTTTCTGAAAAGAGATTTTTGATGGCAGCCTGGTGCTTTTGTAGAACACTAACTTGGACACTGTAACCCTTTCTTTTAATCTGACAAAAATGCAGAGATCCATATGGTCATTGCTTTTTGCCCACCATGTTCTGCACACAGCTTTGCTCGTACAGGGTTTTACTAAGCCACGGTTTGTAAAAATGAGATTACTACTTGTAGGGAACTTGCTGAGACATTTCAAAAGCTTAGCATTCCACGTTTGTAAATCGCACATAAAATGTGTGCAAAACCAAATAAACCCCAGCCAAATACAACCCTCCCTCTTTCCACTGGGTACAGGAGGTGAGGGGAGCAAAGAGGGAACCAAGAAGAAATGAACCTAGGACTATCACCATCCAGCTAAAGCACAGGCATTAGATTTTACAAAACCACAAACCAAAATAAAGTAAAATAATCTCCCTGAAGACAGAAGTATTTCCATCACAGACAGAAAATTAATTGCTTACGTGAAAGGTCCGTGCTCTGTATTCAGCCATTCTGGACAGGAACAACTTCCTAACTTTGGAGCTGTGGGAGAACCTACCTCCTTTTTGCTGACACAGTGGCCTAAAACTCTTGCTAAGAAGTGGTGATAAGGCTTTTTTGTATGAGCTTTCATTTTCCTGCAATGTTTGCTGAGTTTGGAGTGTACAAAGACATTTTAGACTCTCAGACACTACAGCCTACGGCTCAATGGATCAGGAAAGGGAACAGTGCACCTGAACTATGCGGCTGGCAGCTAAAGTAATTAAGTTGTAACAGTGGCCTTAAAATTTGTCTTAAGAAAGCAAGAAAGGGTTTTGTGGCTAAAAATCATTCCATTTTCTATAAAGCCCTTAAATCCCTCTGTGTCTCGGTACTTCCTCCGCTGTGAGAGGAAATGATCCCAATTTCACATTTCTTACCACTTTACCGCTCCTCCACCCGTCAATAGTTTTTCCATTCATTGCCTGCACTACGCTCACGCCCTGCTGGTGAAAGGCTGCATTTTTGGATGGTTTTCATCCTGCTCATCTCTGCGTCCTTCATACAATGTTACCTTCCGCCGTGCTGCCCTGACTGTACCCCTCAAAGGTGGCACTTCCACGGGAGAGAAGCACAGTACGAGATGGACAGAGGACAGACTTCAGTACCGTTTCTAAACCATTAAGTCTTTTACTTTCATTGTGCACTGTTACAACAATGCTTAAAGTTTCTGACTTGCAGCACCTCTCCCAACACTACAGGTTCAAGCAACCTGGTCTAGTGGAGGGTGTCCCTGCCCATGGCAGGGGGGTTGGAACTAGATGGTCTTTAAGGTCCCTTCCAAACCATTCTGTGATACTCTAGCATCACTTATGACTTCCCAATGAACTCCAAGAACCTTCCTGACTCTGCCCCTGAGGGTCGTGTGGACAATAATTAAAAACTGAAACCACATGAAAATTGCTGAACAGATGCTCCAGGGAATTGGGGGGTGAACAAGAGCTGGGGGATATGTGAAGTGGAAAATTAGTTCTCACAGGACTGAGCTTTCTTAATGTTTTTTAAGCTTGTAACTCTTCTCTGCAGTACCAGATGCACAAACAGGATGCAATTCTTGTATTCAAACTGCCTGTGTACACACAACTGGAATACATACACAGACTCAAAGGGCTGTGCTCAAATTATTTAGTAGCAGAAGCAGTTTTCCAAAACTGCAGAAACTGAAGTTTCCTTTGCAAATTGCTTAAAATGAAAGTTACAGAGAAAAGCCAGGAAGTAGGAACAGTACTTGGGGAAATGCAGGAAGCATGGAAATTACTAAGGGGAACACAAATTTCAGACAAACAAACAAACGAGCAGAGGGAAGCTATAAAAGTCTGTACCAGTGAAGGGAGACACTATTCAGATAACTCAAGTGCCAGATGACTGTGACTGGGGATGTGTGGAAGAATTACCCTTAATTTTTCAAGGCTTTTTACTGGAAAATTTCTTAAGCTCCATTATATGCACTGTTCCCTTCGTAATTATTATACTTACTTCTACCACTAATAATGTGCATAAATCTACTGTTTGTCATGTTCATAAAGCCCTTAATAAACCTCCTGTGAAGGAAGGAAAAGAGCTCTGCTTGAAAATTCACTAACTTTGAGAGAGATGGAAAAAGAAGCTATTCTTGGCATATACACATCACTCCTAGTCCTCTGACATATCAGCAGTGGTTCAACCAGAGGTGATGTGAGAGTAAATGCATATGGCACCTGCCTGGAAAGGTATTTGAATAAACACAGATGTGCTCTGACAGCTACTTGAAACATAAATACTTTCCATGCTGAAATCCCAGTAGTGGCCAATCTGTCAATAGCCAACATTACTGTGTATCTAGAAAGGCATTCACCCACCACTAAAAAAGGGTCGTATTTGGAACAAACTGTATTAGGCACTCTACACCAGTGATACTGTACCACAGGATCTCAGACAAGGACTGAAGAAGGTTTACAGACTGCAAGGCGAATGGATGTTAAATTTCATTTAACTGCAAGAGCCTTATTGGAATATGGTCAGAATGCTGTGACTGTAAGTGGACAAGATATCGGGTTTACATCATGTCCAAAAGGCAAGCAATTGGTATTTGTGTAACTGCAAAAAACAAACATAAGAAAGCAATGTTATATTTCAGGTTCTTAAAACATTACTTCTTGCCTTCAGTATTTAATGCAAAAATTAGCTACCTATCGATGGAAACAAAATAAACGAAGTACAGAGTGAAGTGCAAATCTATACATAAAAACCATTCATCATTCCTCACCTGATCTTCTTCTCCACCACCTTCTTCATCGTATTTCAGAATGTTGTCCCTCACATCATCTTCTGGATCAATCAAGAGCTGCTTTGCCTGACGCTCTTTATCACGGCGTTTCATCCATACCACGAACATTAAAACTAAAACTACATTGCAGAAAAGGAAGACACAAAACCACATCTTGATTCTGAAGTATGGGCACAGAAAATGATGAAAATTTAACACCAAGACTTAAAAAACCAGCAACTAGAGAAAAAGCCCAAGAAAGTTGGCTTTGATGGATGAGGTGGGTTTTGTTGTTGGGTTTTTTTGGGGGTGGGGGGGGTTTGTGTTGGCTTTTTAAAATAAAAATATTCATAGAAGGCAGCTTAAGCAAGAGATGTTCTAACTTAGGTTATTACAGGAAATTTGATTTGGAAATCAATCACATGTTCAAGGCCCTAAGTCACAAACTCATTCCACATCTGCAAAATAAACTTGTCACGAAAAGAAGAACGACCAAACTTCCCAAACCACTGGATTCAGAAGGGAATCTCTTCAGTAGTGTCAAGAATTGTAAAAGATTATATTTTTTATTTTTTTTTTCTGCTGTCCCAAGAATGTATAGCAATTCACAGAGTTTAAGTAATTCTGATGTTTGAACATCACTGAGCTTAGGCCATTTTGGCATACGGCTCAGCAGTCCACAAGAACGGGCCATATTGTTGCCTACATTTAGATAAATGTTTAGAAGCAAAAGGAATCCAAGGTTGAGGAAAATGCAGTGGCATTTAGAGCTATATTTTTCTTTTTCTTTAATCCAAACAATTTCAAGTTACACTATTTATAAACTAAAGCTTGTTAAAGAAAACCAAATGAGAAACTAAACAGAATAAATGTGAGTAAATGGATTTCTAACACAACAGGCTTGTTTCCAATTACAACCATCTTCACAGAAAAAAAAAAAAATTCCAGTGTATCTAGAGTGTCAATATATGAAAAGTATCTTGAAGGATTTGATACTTTCAATAAGGCTCTGTTAATTCAATACATAACAGTTTAACAGTATCTTGTATCCAGAAAATAACTGTACTGTGCTTGTGTACAGCCACGGGCTTAGCCAGGCTCAAGTACTTTTTTTTTTTTTTGTTTAAAAAAATTACCCCTTTTCATCATTTTGTATGTTCTGGACTGGTGCACAGTATACCCTGAACAGATTAATCCCTTCCTTGTGTTCCACCACAATCAGAAATCAGTTAACCATAATGTGTAGGAGAGCTAGCGTCTAATTTACTAGACTGGGCAGACACTTAGTCATGATGTTTAGTTATTTCCCTTATTGAATGCACTTGACACAAAAATAAAATACTAGCAGAGCTTTATGTAATACTTAAAACACACATACACATCTCCGGTCCTGCATGGCTGCCTGCTTGTCAGGCCTTATATGAAGGGCTGTGATGTATTAGTTGCCAAAATCATCCAATAGCATACTCACATTTATCTGAAGCACAACAGTAGGAACACCAGAGTGCTGCTAACTGCTGTGGGGGGCTTCAAATCACACAGTACCAGCAGCACAAGAGAGACTAGATGCCTGGGGGATAATCCTATCTTCAACCTGGTCACTCACTGACGAAATGTAACAAGCGCCCGTGGGCATGGATGGAAAACCTCTTTTACAAACCCACTGTGGGGCTTGACTGCCATGCAAGTACTAGTTATGATCTGTCTCACAGACTCCTAATCCCATTCTTGGACTTGAGTCTTTAATCACTCCCTTGTCTTTGTCAAAGTACATGGGACTAAAACATAAGATGGTACGTGCAAAACAAGAGAGTTAGGATTAAGAAATCTAGCTACTCACTGAGCAAGATGATGATACACAGCAGAATTGCAATGATGGCACCAGTGCCCAGCCCTGCGCCAACGATCCGGTCAACGTCAGTGCAGTCTCCATTTATGTCACATTGGCAAACTTTCACTTTCAGCACGGAAGTGCTAGATGCATGTGGATTTCCAGAATCTGTAATTACTATGGGCACATCGTAGATACCAGCCTCCAGGAACCTGATCCTTAAGGAGAGCTGGGCGTGATCACCTGTGTGTGAGAACAAGGCACTTGTTAACAACTAACGTACAGCTCGTACGGGTTTAAAACAGTATTGGCAAAAACATCTTATCTCTGAGCTCTGCGTTAACTTTTCGTTCAACTCACTACACAACACCCAGGGTAACAGAATTCTACTGTGAACCTCTCCTTTTCTTAAAATTTCTTATTCTTTGGGGTACTTACACTAAGGTGCTTTCCTATTCATATTAACCAACTTCACGTACGCTGTGAAGTAACAGCAAAGTAAAATAGAAAAAAGCATATGCAATCGTTTCTTTAAAACAATTAAGGTTTCTTTAATGTTAATTACCACTAATTCGAACGATAGTCCAATTCCTCTTAATACTAGCAGGCATGTCAGGCAGCTCAAAGGCAAATGGGCCTGCATTTGGATCTATGTCAGGGTCTATAGCAGTAATGTTAATAGCGTTAGGCTGCAGTGTTTCACAAGTCGTGGCTTCTTTTGGATTCACTTGGGGGGCATTATCATTGATGTCCAGCAGGTATATCTGAAGTGTGCCGGTTCCGCTCATCGGGGGGATTCCTTAAAGAAAAGAAAACAGTATTGAGCCTGTTTCCAATTGGAAAGTTACTTAACTGAAGCTGTATGTACATGGTGATTGAAAGATGTTGATGTGTTCACCTCAGCTTTAGGATTCTGTCTTTATCAAGCCAATCTCACACTGTTACTGCTTCTGCTAACACACAAATTCTTATGTGCTCTGTCCTCAGAAAAACTGGCCTACCTAGCAAAAAATCAGCCAGTAACTGCTGATCCATGGATCAAGAACACGACTACTTTACTGACTAGACAGCCAGTTCCTCTCTAGAGACAGTCCACATCAAATGCTTCAGAGAAAAAGGTGCAAAATTGGGATAGTTTATCTTCTGCAGAAATTATTTTGTAATTGTGAAGACTTATGAACACCCTTTACCACGTGTGCTATTTAAATTCTTTCTAATACCGACTTTCAGCAAGCTACTTCTAGACATTCTTGCTATCCACATCGAGTGTGTGATGCTTCCGTTAACCTTGCTGAAGTCACACATTTATGTGAACATGTGACACTGAATTTCTCAATATAATTAGCAGTGGTTCTCATTGCATCCTCACCCCTCAATAATCCTGCAGTTCTGTTTAATTTTTTTCTCCAGAACAGAGCCAAGAGGATAGAAGTAATTCATCCAGCTTTGTTATACTGTATCAGTGTGAAAAATTCTGTCTTCTCTCCAAATTTTGTCTTTGCCCCCAGCATCTCCAGTTTTCCCCTCCAGTATGAGGATGTTTCCAACTGCACCTGTCTGTCTTTCTGCTATCAGCTACAAACAGTAGAGCACTCCAACCAAACTTAGAGGACTCGCTTCTGAGTGGACTGTTCAACTGTCATTAACAAACTGACAGTGGAAAGACACTTTTCCCTCTGCACTGCTGTAGCCTGAATGTGGAAAAATATGATACTCCTCCATCAGCATGTTACTTCCCCGTAAAGTCCACTCCTGCTCTGCATTCGCTCAGCCTACTGCACTCCTGAGCAGGGGTTTTTTTCAGTTTTCTGTAAACTCCACTAATGTCACTAAGTCAGTGCCTTTCTCCAAATTCACAGAATAATTTTTCAGCCCACTTCCTGATTAGCTGGGAAATACACAAAGTCCAATACTAATACAGGCTTCTAACTGGATGTATTCTAAGCATCTCTTTTTCTAACCCAGTAAAACTGAATGCCATTTAACCACACAGAAGAAAGCCTTTTGAAAACATACACAATGTTGATACATACCATTATCAGAAGCAAGAAAGGTTGCATTATACATATTGTTTTGCACATATATTGACTCTCTGTCCAGAACAGCTGTAGTAGTTATTTGTCCATTAACAGGGTCAATTTTCAGCCAGTTTGCAGGATCCGAGAGTTTGGAGTACCTGTATATTTGATCATAAAATGTGTTATTGATCTGCCAACATATATATTGACAACAGAGACAATATAGTATTTTAATTTGTAATCTGAACAGATTTTTTAAAATTTTGTGACATTATTTCACAGATGTCCATTTATTAGGCACTGCTGCTAAAATGCTTGAAAACACGTATTAAAACCAATCCTATGTTTAGATTCTTGAAGTGCCCTGCCACGTAAGTTATCATGTAACTGGAGTAAATCATACAATTACTGTAACTATGTGACGTCCATATTTAGAGTCAATTAAAACATTTCATTAAGGATTCCTCTTGATTGTTCTATACCTACAGAGCTGTTCATACAAACTTTTATTTTGTCAGAGTGCTAAAAGCAGGAGAGGTAACAATAGATAGAGTGTTAGAATAGCACTAACTCACATTATTCTAGAGCTTCCAATATCACCTAAATTTTTAGAGGCCCTGGCACACTTTTCATCTTTATTTGAAAGAGGAGTCTCTTTCAAAATCATCCTTCTATCTGATAAATTTGCCCTTTGACATTAATGAAGTGCAAGCTATCTTTGGTCATTAATAATGCATATATCCTTAAGTCCTTATGCTATTATGTCTATGATGGTTATGTTCAGAAACGAGCAAAATATCAGCAATAGCTAACCAAAATTAAGAGTAAACAGAATTGCAAGAACCTTGATTTTGAAAGGAAAGGCAGAAAGATCTGGAGTTTCCCCCCCATGACCTAAAAAAGCTGCTGGATAAGCTAGGAACCTGAGTCCTGGCCCAAGGCTAGTCCCTGTGCCTTAGCTTTGCAGACAGTGACCATGTTTTAAACGAGGTATGAGAAAGTATGCTTTAAGCTTTCCATGGTTTTCTTCACTTTTCTCATTTAGAACAGTTCTACAGATGAGACAAATTATGATCAAATTATGATCATAGCTATCAGTCCAAGAGTTTACAGACAAACAACAGCAGCACTTTGCATTGCTGGAGAATAAATGAGAAGACCACCCTTAAGATTGCATCAACAGGCTGACATGTTTTTCCTGCCATGTTAAACTAATTGGTAATTTAAATTGAAAACGATCTTAGTGCACACAAGCATGTGTGTGCTGTGACTGTATTTGCTGCGATGCCACATACACTTTAACACAAGTCCGTATCTGCATTCTGCCTTGATGAAGTGGGACCTTGCATCAGAATACAACCCAGTTTACAGATTTACGAACACTGGTCAGGTCGCTTTCTCTAGAGCCAGAAATCCCTTCAGAGAATGCTGCACAGAAGCTACAGGAGGTACTGGTGTAGCTGTGTGCTACCACAAAACACAGTCGTTTCATATGCAGTCTCTTTGCTCCCCACCCACTCTGTACCAAGGATATTGCATCCCAGTTGTTAAGCCACTACAAAATGTTTACACAGACCTTAGGGAGGTTTGCTGCATGTAACGGTCTGGGTCCTGAGCAGTGAAAGTTGTCAACATGCTACCAGCGAGTAGGCCTTCTTCTTGACGTACAAGCTTAGGGTTTGGAACAAAATACGGGCTCTCATTCACATCAATGACTGTAATGGACACGGTCGCTGTTGACTGAGGAGGATGCTGAATCCCCTTAGCCAAAGGCACTTGATTTTCCGCAGCTACAGTAAGTACAAACATCCTGTTGGTCTCGAAGTCAATAGGCTGAGGAAGGCGAAGAGCAGGAAGTGTTAACATTTACTCACAATAGCGATGGACACACAGTAACATTTTTACTTCAAAGCACATTTTTAAACATTACTTGTACTGCTTTTCTCAAAAATGAGCAGAGTCTCTACAGATAACACAATCAATGTAACACCTCAACTCGAGACTGGGTTGGAGTTCTGCTAAGCATCAGCAGTTTTAAAATGTGAACAGCCAGAAACCTTATTGTTCTTGGATTTAACTTACTCTGGTACTGCCATTAGTGGTAACTGAGGAAACAAGTAGTTTCATCAGAAGATGATTTAGAAACTGCGATCTTTGTGCCAGGCCCTCACATGAGCAAATGTGCCTCCTGAGGAGCTCTCCGGGGGAAAGAAACCTGCCTCTCTCTATTATAAGGACAAAGGTTTCCTTCAAACAAGATCACGATCATACCAAGCCCTGTAGATCAGAGGTTCCCATGTCCTTAATGTTTCACTAGAAAGAATCTTTGTAACCGCAGCTAATCCCACTGCTGGTATACCTACAGCTCCTATCTTCACAGTCCAGACCACTGTCAGTTTGGGGACTTCCTCACTGAGCCAGAATTCCAATTTAAGGACGACTAAGAACAGTTTGATACTAGAGTTCCTCTGTCATGATACATGGGGGTGAGACACTCCCCTAGACCTGATTCACCTTAGTACTATGGCACTGAAACTAGACTTGAAGGAGCCCTACACCTTACAGGGGCCGTTGGCATGTGACAGTATGAAGTCAGTGACAAGAAACAATATTCATTACAGGTTGACAGATCAACTCATTGCACTGCAAATAAAAACTGGGCAGGCTTCCAACTGTTCCCACGTCTGGGTGTGCGTGCTGCTGGCCAGACTGCAGAACTGGCATTTACCACCTCAAGGTGATTTTCCTATGCTGTTTAAGAGCCTCTGATCTCAGATGGTATGGCTGGCCCCCTTCTGAACAGGCCCATCATTCCCTTGCAGTTGTAGGAAAAGGTTCCTTTTCCAATGAGGCTCCCACATGCTGCTACTCTGTTGTTAAACCAGGTCAGATGTAGCAAAGCACTGAGATACTCTGGCAGCAGAGGGTTTAGAATTTGTTAAAAATAAATTTGTAAGTGAAAAATCAAATGGGTTAGAGATCTGGAACCGTAGGCTTACTTTTCTTTATAACTTTTCTTTTATTCACTTTAGGTTTAATATGCGCATTTTTAAAATTGACCCTTTTGTACGTTTCTAGTTTGATACCACTTCTAGATCTGAAAAAAGTGCTTATATGCCTAATTACAAAGCACAGACACATAGACTGCAATATAACAATCGATACTTCTAGGGAAGTGCAGTTACAAAACCCAGACAGTTCTTAAAAAAAAAAAACTCTAGTGTGAATTACCACTACAGCTGTACAAAACACCTATCTTTTTCTCACCTAGATACTGAGATTAAGAAAAAAAAGTGAATGTTTTAATTTCCAAATGGGAACACTGGAATCTCACGCTTGTCTTTGTAAGTGCATCAGCCAAAACCAGCACAGGCCAACTCAAAGATGAAACACTTATCAGAGGGCCATGAGGAAAGGTGGCTACTGTCTGGCAGGTTTAATTATAGAACCACATTGTTATTATCACTTGAAATAAGTCACCCCTCAACACAGAGCTGAAATGGCTAGAGAATGAAGATAGACAGGTTATTCCATAAAAGGTATTTAAATGAGGTTTTAAAAATAGCAAGTCTTTAAAAGCCTCTTGTGGTAGCCTCCCACCTATCACTTTTTCCTCTCTGATAGTGCCTTGACTGCCTATATCTGTTCCTTAATGGGAACATGTTGACATAAAACCTGCAGACAACAAGCGTGACTACTAATGGAGGCCAGGAGGTAGGAAGCTGTTCCTTTACACTAGCAACAAACACTAAGGAAATATTTTCCCACATACTAATTCCTATCTTTTGGCAAATAAAGTTCACATTTTCAACAGCCTAGCCTGATTTTTAAAACTGATCAGCTGGAACACTACTGATAGCATAAGCAGGCAAATGCTCCAAGAGACAGATAGCTTACTTCCACGAGACAGCTGGTGCCCATCCATTTTACTTTCCAGACGTGGTGGCCTCAGAGTTCACATTTTTTGCCCTCAATTTTCTCCCACTTCTTCCATCTCTGCTTAACTCTCTGAAGTACAAGCATCTCTTACCTTCACAACAGTCACCAGCCCATCATTGCTATTGGGATCGGTCAGGATGGTAAATCGACCTGTTGGGTCTCCTCCGGTCATTCGGTACATCGCATTCCATGCGGGTGTGTGGGGCTGATCTTTATCCGTTACCGTAAGATTCGCTACGATCACATCCACCCTGTTTTCCGGTACTTCCCCATAGAACTGCAAAAAAAACCAAACCAAAACAAAACAGAAAAAAAACCAAGAAAGCATTTTACCTCAGCTGCGGAGGCACAAAGAGCTACACCATACTCAACATTCATCAATGTTAGGAAACGCATCTCTTCACTGGAGCTCTGATAATTCACCTAATGAAGTTTACCTGAGGCCACCCAGAAAACTGATGGGTATGATTCCCTTGACAGCTTCTGCCTTTTGGCCTAAGCAGAACACTGTATCTAAGGGATATATATATATTTTGCATGTATTTCCATCCTGCCTGCCAGTACACTATTTAATAAGTAATAAATATTTACCGTCTGTGAATACAATGAGAAAAGCAGGGAACAGTTATAAATATGCACAACCTTCAGCTACTCCCACCCTGTACTTACAGTCATGGCGGTGAACTCAGGAGGATTGTCATTGACATCTGTCACGGTGATGACAGCAGTTGCTGTGTTTGAAAGACCATATGTTGGGTTTCCTTCCATGTCCGTAGCTTGAATTATTAATGTATATTGTTGTACTTTCTGAAACACAAAATGACATCAACATAAGTTTTAGACAAAACTAACATTACCATAGGACAGCAGGTGTTTCCGAAATTGCACTTCGCTAAGCAATGGAGCCTATCATGCTGTTTATTCTAGTTAGCATCACCCAGGATGACAGGAGCAATGTTTGTGCCACAGCAATAAAACACACCAGGTTGCACCTAGGTACACTGAACTATTGCTTGATTTGCTTCAAATATTATCGAGACCAGAGAAGCCTGCCTGCTTCCAACTCTCAAAAATCAAAACCCACTTTACACAGTCAATGCTATTATCACGGATTTAAAAATGCTTTTTAAATGGGAAAAAAAACCAAGAGTGAAGTTCATACTAAAAAGAGCTTACATTAAAAACAGGCTAAGTCCTCAAAAGCGTTTAAGAGAACTGAGCCAAGGTAGGTCTGTTGGCCAAACAACCGCAACTGCCAAGGTTTTGTTTCAGCCAAGCCCAAGTATAAAACCACTGTTACAACTTCTTGCGATCACTATGGAAACAGAAGATGTCAAGGCTAACAGAGGCGAGTAAGGGCACCGGGAGAACAGGGGAGGGAACAAGCACACGGGCTATTTCCATAAATGTTAAACACTCCGGCCGAAGATGGCTGCAGCACCCCCCGCCCTTCCTTCCCCCGCGTGCCATCACCAACGTCCCAGCGAGCCAGGCGCTCCTCTCTCCCCTCAGGGTTGGAGCCAGGCCAGGGCTCCCTCAGGCACAAGAAATACCCAACTGAGACCTGACCTCCAACTGGTTAGCTGTTCAAAACTAAGCCAACAAGGTTGTGTTTAAAAAAACCCCAAAGATTAGAAAGATGTTTTCTGTGGAGAGCTGCCGAGAAGTTGATTTTAGCTCCTTAACGGTTTCTACTGTGAAATGCAAACACTGTCCATGCTTTTTCATTTACCAGTTCCGTTTCCCAGCTTGGAGAGAGCTAGGTGTTATCATTCAACTCCTTCCAAAAATAAAAAAAAACACACAAACATAAGGAGTTACTTTTAGGTATCACTTTCATGAGTGGTTTACCAACACTGGCAAAAACCTTCTGGCAAAATAAAAATACTTTAAGAAAACCGTTTTTCCCCCCCCCCGCTTGGTACCTTATTTTCTCCCACTACCTAAAGACTGGAGTATCTGACAGATTGCTTCTCCTGGAAACCATTTACAAAAAGGGACTCTGGATACTGATACAAAAAACAATGACAATCGCACTAATAATGTCAAACTTTCTTTCAAACTTTGGCCAGCCACTACAGCAGACGTTAGAGATTTAATGATTATGCACACTTCCAAGCAGCAAATACTAGCTATTAAATAAAACAAGCTTTTAAAATAAGCTGTATGAATCTTTATCTTGCACTGAAGACGCTCGTACCCTCTTTCCCAAAGGAACCCTTACAACACACCCCAAATGTGTATTACTGCATTAAGTATCCCAGGGTTCTATAAAAAAGCAAAACTAATATTATTTACACAGAAATGCAATATATATGTTTAATAATGCATAGATAGGTATACGAATTCTGGCTTGGAAAATATACTTGCAAAGTGACCTTCAAAAGGCTTAAATAAACATCATAAAGGTTTCCTTCACGACACCAGCAAGAGAAGCGGTCACAAGGGAATCAAAGAAATACTTCTGCCACTTTCATCCAGGAAAAACACCTATATACTTATTGTGGAGCAATAAAATCTAGAGCAGTATTGAAGCAAATCTTACAGCCAGATGATTCTATGTTACTGAAACAGCAGGTGCTTCTGATTCATCTGGGTCTTAACACATTGATCCCAAGAAGCAAATTTCATTAAGGAAACTCCATTATTATTACACAGAGACTCAACTTCCGTACAATCATCTTATTTAATTCCAACACAAACTCACTAGAAACCTCCCCCCAGAAGTCAGCCTATATGTGTTTCTGTTTGTTTGTTTGCTTTTCCCTGTTCCCAGCACTCACATACAGAAGATTAACTGCTGGGAACGACATTTCAGTAATCGACAAGCACACAACTTCCCAAGCATGGAGAAACTGGGGGAGCTGGCTCTCCTCTTTTTACTGCGGGTTGAGAAGCAGCCAGGAATAAGCCGCGGAGCATGTGTCAGCAGCCTGCACAGAGACTTCGCAGCAACACATCCGAAAACGAACTGGCAGCTTTAGGAAAGAACGCAGACCTCATCAGGTCACATCTTTCCACTTCAACGCAGGCCAAATAAAAGCACTTCACTGAATTAACCTCACGTGAGGCAGGAATGTCAGTGTGTAAATTTAAGTACCCTGCCTGCCTTTTTCCACACCTCCAGCAGTAAGGCAGATGTTTTAATGCTGACGTGAATTCCACAGCAATAGCAGAAGTAGTAAGAACAGCTGGATCTCATGAAAGACCATCTTTTGGGATAGCAAGGGAAAGATTTCTTCCGCCTTTAGCAGAGTCCCCTACCTAAGCAACTCTCCTCCTGTGCATGTTAGCACAGATAATGCACGGTGCCCGTTAACCTAAAATACTAGCAGATGAGGAAAGCTATCAGAGGAACCACTCTTTTTTTTTTTTTCCCCTGAATGCCTAGAACACTTATGTCCCATAAATAATGCAACACATAATTTAAGAATTAAAAATTGTGTCTGGTATTTTATGAGCCTAATTAGAACTTTACAAAGAGAGTCAAGACTTGGAGAAAAGGGCAGAACTGGCAGACGAGAGTAGACCAGCTGAGATTCCTGGACAACAAGGAACCTGGTGCAGCAAGGCAGTCCCTTGCCCACTGTCAGAATGTCTGCTCGATTCAGATCTGGCTTTCTAGACTCCTAGTCATTTTCATTTAATTGACTTCCACAAAATGACTCAGGAAATGAAGGAAGCAGAGCAATGGCCTGGGAAGGAAACCATTTTATGTCATATTAGACTAATTTAATATTTGAAAGATTTAACATTAATCATTAATATTCAACATGTGCAAGAAATGTTTATAAATACTCATTTGGGTATCAGTACAGTGATCCATCAAGAAAAATGATGGCGAATGACAAGGTTTTTCCAACTGTTAATACGAGGATCTAAGCTCCACAGACAGCTGGTTTCTTCCAAGTTAAATCACTCTGGTACAGCCAGTCACTACATCATAAAACCCTAGAGTTATCGCTATGTCCTTCTCAAAGTTCACCTGTCAAAGATGACCAAGGGATTTTAAAAACAAGGGCAAAGCTGCCCATCATTCTTTTAATTTAATAGGGCAATACTGTAAAGTTCAGGGTTTTCCTTTCCTCAGATCCACCCTCTTCAAAACCAACTTAAATAGAACAAAGTTAATAAAACTTTTAAAATTAATTGCAATATCTAACATTTTGTTTAGCTTTTCAAATCTTCTGACTGCTGCTTTCAAACTGAATTGCGTCAGAATATTAACAGCCAACCCAGAGCACCCAAGAGTATTTTTGTTCCCTGTTTTAAGTAAGTATAAGCAAACAGCTAAGAGCCAAACAGCAAATCCAGTTTAAAAACCCCTTCAGATTTAATGAGCTAAAATGAGGTTAGTAAAACAGAAGTTGAAACAAGATGTGTTGAAATAAGATTTGTTTGGATTTTATAGTTTGTTTATAGAAGAATACTTCTCTCTTGTGAAGTTTTCAAGTGGTTCAAAAGCACAGTTAGTTGTGTCCCAACTGGAGTTGGGAGGGAAATATTTTTATTCCCACCGCACAGCAGAGGATCTGGCAACCCTCTTCCCTGGTGACGAGCACAGTGAAGAATGGTCTTGGCAGAACTGGACCTGCCCAGCATGCAGCAGGTATTACTGACAGTCAGCTTCTACGCTTTTGGGTTTTTTTTTTAAATTCTTTGAATGTGTGCCTTGAGACAACTCTGTCTCTTCCAATCCTGACTGGCTTATTTCTTAGGAACTTGCTTTTCAGATTTTAAAATTGCTACTATTTTCCTTGTTTCTTTTAATAAGCAACATTCAGATAAGGGAATTACTGCAAATTTAGCAACACAGCATCCAGAAGATTTCAAAGATTTACCACTGCTCTGTGAAGAGCAAGGAAAAGGACAGAAGATCTCCCAGAGCTTCAAAAATAAATAAAATGTAAAGCCAATTCCATTTTGCATCTACTCTTCACTTACAAAGCTCAGGGAAAGGGAAGTACTTGAGCTGAGATACACCTCCCATCTCAGCATCCAGGCTGAGCACCCAAGACCCTTATCTGCATTGCTCTGCTTTAGTGTCTGCCTGTTCCCTAAAGCAAACAGGCTTACGAGAGGAGATCCTTCCCCAGAGATAACTACGCATATGGAACATGCGGGTCCAGTTTTCATCCCTATACTGATTTCTTCTTTTCCAGGAAGAAAGTTCAGAGCAGGGAGGGAGAACAGTATTTCTAAATTACTAGCAAAAAATGTACTACTTCACAACATCAAGTACACCCCAGCCTATAGTATTAAGACCTGCCATACCTCTCTGTCAAGTCCAGCTGCTACGGTGATAATGTCACCAGTCTCGTTGTTAATTGTAAACATGTTTGGAGAGGGGCTGCTTGGAGCCTGTGACAAGATTCTGTATCTCAGCATCCCGTTCTGTGCATTGGGATCATCAGCATCGATGGCAGTAACAGTCATCACGTAGGTTCCTAGCAGCAGGATAAATAATTGATGTTATACAAACAGTTTACTCAGATTACACAAGATCGCTTACAAGCAATGGTCAAAGCATGTATTTCTTTTGGTTCCTGCTCTTACTTAAAACAAACTGGTTAAACCCAAGACTCACCAACAGAGTAATTAAGATACATTAGAGGAGATAAAAATACTTTTGTGTTTATAAAATATAAGATTTGCTTATAACTGAAGAAGCTCCACAAACAATGAAATCCTACAATTCTGCCATAAATAATATTTCTGTAACAACAGAGCTCCTCACATTTAGATAAAAATGTCATTAATTAGGCCAAAGGAAATATACTTCATGTTCAGAACTGGTGCACATACTGATAGTGATTGAAAATCAATGTAAATAATATTCATTCAAAGGTCTTTGAGATGCATGTTCTTTCCATCTCAAATGCCAAGTCAACACAGAAAAGTGAAAAAATACATTTCTCCTGCCAACCTTTCTAGAAAAAAAAATTCATTTTGCACTACTGACAAATTAAGAAAGTGGTTTCAGTCATAGTGCAAACTTTGGTCTGAGCTGATTAGAATTTTAATGAGATGTGAACAACATCTAGGGTTTTCTTCAGAATTCAAATGAAACTGATTTCAAATCCCAGTATTTTCAAAGCCTCCAAGATGCACAACTAGAACTGGATCCGCTGATATTTCGCAAGTCTCTTATACCCTGAGCTGTCAACTAAATGAAGATCGATGGCTATCATGAGCAAAGCTAAGAACTGTGACAGTGTATGGATTTTCAAGAAGTGGAAAAGTTGTATTCTTAAAGAATTTTCTGGTTCAGTTTACATATGTAATACTTTCTTCTTTTAACTATTTCTAGCATGCTAAAAAGTGAAACAAAAGTAAGGTGAAATAGTAAGACAGTAGCTGAGATTCTGGCTCTTCACACTAAGAAACCTTTAGAAGTGTTACAAGGTCTGAAGGCACCCCCTTCATCACGTTATTGCATACCTCTCCTATCCCCCATTTTGGAAGCCCATGTATTACCTGGCTTTGATCCTTCAGGGACTGTCCCATTCCAAACCTGGTGTAAAAACTCAGGTCTATTGTCATTCATGTCAATGACATTGATAACAATGTCGATAGGATTTTCCACCTGGTTGCCATTTACATCCACTGCGTGTGCTCTCAGCTGCAAAAGTCATTAGAAGTATTACAACTTGCACAACATATGGGCACAAATAGATATAATAAAGGTGGCAGGAAGTTTCAGGCCAGGCATTTTTAGCTCAGTGTTTTTTGTTATCTGCTACTGCTTCCTCATATCAACCATTTGAATTTTCAGGTTGCTAATGGAACTGCTGCTCAGACTTCTAATCTGTTCTAAGTTGCAGACATACTTCTTTTATTTGCTGAAAATTATTTTGAACAGTGTCATTTCGATTAATACCAATGCCTACTGTCATATATACATCTGGTTTTAATAACGACCATGAGAAAACAGACTTTAGAAATATGCAGTTTTATATTAAACAGATAGCAACTTACTAACAATCCAAGGGGAATAACACTAGCATCACTTTCAAAAATTCTTTACTGGTATTACGGATACTGAAGAGAAAAGAACGGATAGCAAAAGCGTAGAGAATATATTTGGGTTACCTGGAACACCAAGGTAACGTTTGCGATAAATCACTGTCGGTAAACACACTGAAATTCCAGGTTAAAATTAAGCTAAACTTTATGGACTGAGTTTCAAAGATACTGAGACACTTAAATTTGATGTCCTGATTGTCAAAAAGGACTGAATAACTACCTTTGACAGTCAGGTTTACCTAAATCATCCTAAATTGGACATCCTAAAAAGGGAACACAGGACTTTGGGAAAACATCAACCTATGTATCCAGACCAGTGCTGGCAACTGCTTGGCAAAAGACCAACTTTCTCCTATAGCAGTCCTG